GGAGGAGCACAAGTTCAAAGCCAGCCTCAGCAACAGAGAGGTGCTAAGCAACTCAGTGAGGCCCTGTCTCTAAATAAAATACAAAATAGAGCCAGGATGTGGCTCAGTGGTCCAGTGCCCCTGAGTTCAATCTCTGGCATCACCCCCCAAAAAGTTAAAAAAATAAAATAAAAATAAAGGTCGTCTCAGAGATTCCTTCTGCTTTTGACATTTTACGGCTTTCCTTGTCTATAAGGGAAATTGTTGTTGGGAATTGGAATGACCCTGCATCATGCTGGGATGGCCTGTGTGACGTAGTTCAGGCTCCCGGTACCAACCTTCTCCAGGGACTTCAGATGTACCCAGGAGGTCGCCAAGGAGGCTCTTCTGATTGCAAAGCTCAGAGCTCTGGGTCAACAGCAGCCACTGGCCACAGGGCGCAGTTAAGACTTGCAACCAAAAACTGCATTTGGAACTTTATTTAATTTTAATGGATTTACATTTAAATTTAGAAACCAAATCGATGTGAAATATTTTCCTATTAAATACCACTATGTGGTTGTAGACTCCAGTACTGTAAAATTTTAACATTTTAAAATGCACAGCCCAACCGTTTTGGTATATTCCCAGGTTATGAAAACATCACTAGTATCTAATTCAAAACATTTTATCAACCCGAAAAGAAATCTCATAGCTGCTAACAGTTATTCCCTCCTACCCCCAAGCTCCTGGCAACCACTGGTCCCGTTTCTGTGTCTATGGGTTTGTCTCTTCTGCACATTTCATAAAAATGGAACCATCCAATATGTGGATTGTGTCTGATTTCTTTCACTTAACATTTGTTTTCAAAGTTCCTTCCTGTTGCACTTCACTCTTGTTTATGGCTGCATAATATTTCATGATGTGGGTGTATCACCTTTTGTTTACCTATTAATCAGTTGAAGGACACTAGGGTTATTTCCCTGTTTGGTGTGTTGCAAGTGAAAAATATACAGCCCATTTCAAATACTTGCACAAAAATATTGTAAAATACCTTGTTAATTATGTATGTTCATTACACATTGAAATGATACCTTTTAATATTGGGTTAACTAAAGTCCATCATTGTAAAAAAAAAACTATAAAAGCCAAGCAGAGGAGGTGTGGCTGCCGAGGAGGAGGACAGGGACCCTTCCTCCTGAGCCTCTTTGTTTGGCTCGCCCCACCCAGTGGTGGACCTGAAGCCAGGACAGGGCGAGGCCTGGGAGGAGCAGTCACCCTGCCTTGGCACCCGGGGGAGCCCAGTCAGCACAAGTCCAGGCAGGAGCCGGCAGAGGACTGGGAGGGGACCAGGCCTGGAATTATTGGACAAAAGGAGTAACTGGAGCGGCCACTGGCAACAGTGCCTTCTCCTGGCCCTGACCAGCCCTGTGTGGACTGCAGAGCTTCAGGCTGTCACTGTCAAGTGCCCGAGGCTCCCGGCTGCTCTTCTAGCTGAGGAGCGGGGCCGTTTGCTGCCTCTGGGCACAGGGCTGCCAGGAGGAGCAGGCCGCTGTGTCTTGCCCTGTGCCCCTGGGCGAGTTCCACCGCTCTCTGGGGCTTGATTTCCTCTCTGGTTAGGGAACTGGATTAGATAATCTGTTGTCCAGCTTCAACATTGTGGGATTCTGGAAATGATCCTGAGTCACACAGACGTGGGATCAAACCCTGATCTTGCCAGCTGTGGGACTTCTCGGTGCCTTGTCTCCCTTACCTTTAAACAGCGACCTCGTAGGCCACGGTCAGGCTGGTGCTCGGTGCTTCCCGAGTGCCAAGCTTTGTCCTCAGCGCTCTGCACTGAGTGTATTTAATCCTCCCAATAAACCCTCAGAGGAGGGTCGCACTGCCCACGTTTGCACTGTGAGAAGGTGAGAGGGCAAGGATTTTGAACCTAAGTAGGCCAGCCCCTCGGCCCCCTGGCCAACCCATTCCCAGCACAGGTAGAGGGCACAGTGGTGGTCAATCAGTGTTGGAAGGGAGAGAGAAGCAGAATTCTGTGATTGTCCAAATACCTCCCGTGGAAATAATGTTCTGCTGCCCTTGAAATAGATGGGGAAACCAAGCTCTAGAGGATGAAGTAACAAGCCAGGACTCTGCCAACGCGGCGACAGAGGGAGGGCAGGGATCCTGGTTCAGAGCCCCCCCCCATACCTGAAGGTGGAGAGGATCTTGAATTACACGTGCAAATCTGTCCCTGGATAAGCCTCCCCCCCAAGGCTGAGCTCAGAACTCCTCCTTGGGGGATTAACATCTGATATGGTTTCTTTGCCTTCCTTGATGCAGAGTCTCCAAATTTCATCCAGGTACAATTCTGAGTGGTTAGCATTTGCATCTGATAAGAACTGTCTGTGCAAGGCACTTAATAATTCACCCACAGCTTCCAAGACCCAGTTCAAATGCGTCCTGAATGTGTACCATGGGCAGAGGACGCACTGGGCACAGGAGAAATGCAGAGACGAAGGAGCTAATTCCTCACTGTCCTCGGGGAGTGCCCCATTTCTCAGCAAGAAATTCCATTGCTCAAGAATAATTGCTTAAAGATGAACAAAAATGATAAACCCCAGTGATGGTGATGGTACAGGGAAACAGTCACTCCCATTCCTGCTGGTCGGAAAGAAGCTGGCTACAGTGCAAACATAGATGCTTGCTTTAAAAGGCAGTTTGGTAACAATATCACAAGTTTTAAGGGTAGCCTACCCTTAAAACCCTGCAATTCTACTTCTTCAAATCGGGTTGTTTAGCCATAATCATGTTGACGCAGCTCTGTGTATAGTAATGAAATTCTGGACATTCTGGACATGACCACGTCCATCAGTGGGGGTCTAGAAAATCCAGGCACAGTTCTTCCACATAGAGGTCCTTATATTTAATGCTGGAGAGAGGAACATATTGTTGCTTGGAGGTGACAAGAGTGGGATATAAACATTATCCATAACAACAGGATTTAGGAGGAAAGAAAATATATTTGCTATTGTAAGAACCCACATCTGTTGAGTCACTTCAGGTATTATTTCAATCCTATAACATAAATGCTTGCTTTAAAAAAAAGTTAATAAACATTTAGGTATCATGGGTGCTCTTTTTATTCTCACTTCATAATTGAGGAGACGGAGGCTCAGAGAATCTGACTGGCCAGCCCCCACACACAGGGCCAGGCTCAGGGCCAGTCCTGAGCGTCCGTGCAGTTAGCTCAGGGGAGTTTGCTTCCCCACAGCGGAGCAGAGGTAAGGAAGAACATGGTAGATGTCTTTGGATGGAAAACCATGAGTATTTAGTTTTCATTGATTTTCCCTGTCAATGTGCATATCATCAGAAGAGAAATAGTTCAAATGCAACTGGATTTTTGAACGGTACAAATCACAAAAACCAAACTCTTCCTCTATCACGAGGGTTTTCCGGATTGTTTCACACAGAATAGGAACCCCAATGCCTGGGCCTCAGAGCTCACTCCCAGACAGCCCCTCAGGCCCAAGCCCACAGGGCAGGGCTGCAGCCGGCAGGTCCCCCACCTCCGGCAGCTGCTGAGAGCCCGGGTTGGACTTCACCAGCAACTCAAGGGGGGCACCTGGGTCTTGCTGGTCCATTCATCACCCTAACTGCATTGCAGAATGAGTTAGGGAATGAGAAGCCCCGAGCAGCCAGGGACACTCCTTTAAAAACAAAGGCAAGGTGTTTTCTTCCTTCCAAGTCAGCTGGGGTCCCTAGAGTCACCACATCAGGGGGTGCACGGACTGCTCTGAGTCACGGGCTGAGTGGCTGCTGCAATAACTGTTCACAGTGAAACTGGCCGTCACAGCCACTCCTCCGGGAGGACCCGCAGCTGTGATCCTGGTAAAATAGCAAAACAATGAACATCAGGAGTAAGGTGAGGACTTCCATGCGCTGAGAGGTCACAAATTCCGCAGATGGGAGAACACCAGGCTGAGGGAGGGTGGGGAATACCCAAGAGCGTGTGGCTGATGAACGAGGCAGTCAGGGTGACAAAGGAAGGCCCTCGAGTTCTGGGAAACTGCTGTTTGCAGTCTCTTTTTTTCTTTTGCTTAATATTTAATTTTTTTTTAGTTGTAGATGGACACAATACCTTTATTTAATTTATTTATGTGGTGCTAAGGATGGAACCCAGGGCCTCATATATGCTAGGCAAGTGCTCTACCACTGAGCCACAACCCCTGTCTCCTTGCATGACTCTTTGACAAGAAAGATCTCACATTTTTTTCTGGAATTATGCAATGCCTTGTTTGAGGCAGCCAGGCTTACAGATTCTGAGACCAGGCCGTTCCTGGGTTTGCATCCTATTTCTGGCACTACATGCTTTTGCGACCTTGGGTCTCAGTGCAGTCACCCCTTGCCATCATCCGGGAATTGGTTCCATGACCCTCAGCAAATACCCAAGTCTGCAGATGCTCAGGTGCCTTATGTAAAACGGTTTGTGCATATACCCTACATATACCCTCCTGTGTGCTCTGAGACATCTCCAGATGACTTGTGACATCGTGCTGTCTAAGGTTGTTTTGCTGTGTTGTTTAGGGGATGATGACTACAAGAACGGTCTGAATGTGTTCAATAGAGACAAAACTCTTTTCCCCAAGTGTTTCTGATCCATGGTTGGTTGATTCCACAGATAGAGACCCACAGATTCGAAGGACCAATGGTATTCTCAGTGCAAAATGGAGGGGGTGATAATACACACACACACACATACACAGGGGGTGATAATACACACACACCACACACACACGGACTCCACCACACAGTGACTTTGGAGTTTGAAACGTGGTCATGTGATTCTGCCTGTTATGATGTCATGTAGCTAAACCATTCCCATTTGTCATGCGTGTTTGCCTGTGGAAAAGACTTAATGGCTACTTGGTACTTATTTCATGTATGACTAAAATGTGTGTAAATGTTAGCATACAGTTTGGCACATAGTAGGTGCTTAATATACGGTAGCTGTTGTCTTTCTTTATTTTCATGAATCTTGAAAGAACGAACAAGGCTCTTCATCGGAGAAAATGCCCATTTATTGAGGAACAGCTCTGCATATTTATAGAGCCGGGGGTGGACTGACAGTTATGACGGTTTAACAGTTTAACCGTTTGACAGTTGGCACGGGGTGCTTTCTGATTGGTGGGTGAGGATCACGTGAGTCAGCAGGGCTCACCATTGGACAGCTCTCTGAGGGGGGGATGGGGAAGTCAGTCTTTGGAGCTGGAGTGACTCCCAACAAATCTGGCTTCAATTCGACGTCACGGACATCTGTGTGGTGAAGGCCGAGGTGGACGCTCATCCTGCAGAGCGGGAAAGTGGAGAAATGGGAACCTGCAGAACCCTTGGGGGAGGCGGTCCTCGCCGGACAGAGGAGACCTTGCCAAGCAGATCTGGGTGGCGACTTTTATTTTCAGATGAAACTTACACCACAGAGCCCAGCAGGGTGGAGTAGCTGCAATCCCAGCGGTCCAGGAGGGTCGCAGGTTCAAGGCCAGCCTCGGCAGTGTAGCAAGGGCCTAAGTAACGTAGTGAGAGCCTGTCTCAAGATGAAAAAACACAAAAGGGCAGGCATGTGGCTCAGGGGCAAAGCCCCCCTGGGTTCAGTCCCCAGTACCAAAAAAAAAAAAAAAAAGGTGCCGAGAACCGTACCGACCTCACAATCCAGCAGATTCCGGCAAGTGTGCTCCCCCACGTCACCACCACAGAACCACGATCCGGAGCACTTCCATGTCCCCCCAGAGCCCCTCTGTGCCCCTTCTAACCAACCCCCACTCCCTTAGGCCACCAGTTCTGATGTTCCCCACAGGTGAGTTTCGTCTTCTCTTGACCTTCACACACAGGGGTCGTTCGGATGTCCTCTGGTGTCACTCCATTTAACACAGCTGCTGGACCCAAGGGCCTGAAAGCACCGTGAGGATCAAATGATCACCAGAGAAGGCAGAGGGGGTCGGGCAGAGGGGACAGATTGAGGGGTGGGGCAGGAAGGGAGACAGTTGAGCTAAATGTGTATCTGGGGACAGGAGTGACCAGAGGAGGGGACCCCGTAGGGAGGAGGGAGAAAGCAGGAGGCACAGTAGGTGGGCTGCAGCTTCATGGGCTTCATCCTGAGGGGTGGGGCAGGGTGGCTGCCAGGGTGGCCGGAGGGGCGATGGGACACGGGTGGCCACACGAGGAACCAGCACACAGCTCAGGAAGAGCCTGGAGGCCAGGGGTCAGTCACCTGGTTGCTGGTGTGTCCCCCCGTGCGTCTGTCTACCACGAATGCCTACTCGACATGTTGTCTGTCCATTCATTCACCCAAAAAGTAACTTCTCTGGCACTGGGCTCTGGCCTGGGGTTTGTCCATCATGCTCCAGCCCAGGCTTTAGGTCCCAGAACCAGGAAGAAAATAAAAGCAGGCTCCACCCTGTCCGAGGCGTTCTCTCCCCAGGCCCGAATCCTGGAAGCTCGACCGTTTCTATAACTCATCAAACGTGAACTCTTTTCCTTGACTATGTCACTGCTTCTTGGGTTATGATGGGCACTGGGAGGGGACATGGAGAATGAAATTGTGGTCACCTCAGTTTGGAAAGTGTTGGGTGAACACACACAACAGGCTTCCTGGCCGCAGGCCTTCCGGAGGCTTCACTGCGCCTGGCTCCTCGGCTTCCCCGTGTTCTGCCCTCAGAGTGCCTGCGGCCTGGAGTCTGGGCTCCGTGCCTCCCTCCGGGTGACTAGCTTGGAAGGGATTCACGTCCAGGAGCGGGAAGCAACGTTCCCAGGAAGGCTGGCCCAGCGCAGGCCGAGCTGGCCTGAGGAGGACCATGGGGAGTCCTGCTTACTGGCCACTGGGCGGGACAGCGACAGGAAGCAACAGTCTAGGCCCAAAGCCCTTCTCTCTCCCACAGACAGAAGCATGGGGCACTGGGCTCTGTCCTCTGACGAGGAGCTCAGACAAGTCACCTCTTGAGGCTGTGCTGCCAAAGGACTAGAAGGCGGTCACCTGGGTCTCCCAGGCGCAGAGGCAGACAGATCCGCGCACTTGGCTGGGGGCAGAGCCTCACCAGCAGGGCTGCATGTGACCTCGTCCAGGCTGCCCAGGAGGTCTGGGAGGAACCAGGGACCTGGGCCCAAACCCCAGCCCTGTCACCCAAAGAAGTCCCTTTACTTCTCTTGGCTCAGTTTGCCCCCTGAAAAATGAAAATCATCACTGGGACCCCCCAAGGTTAAGCCAGCAACATCATGACAACTGCCACAGTGTTGTCACTGAGGTGTCACAGGCACTCGTGTTTGTTAATGTGACTGAATTCTTCTAAAGGCCGTTGTGACTCTAAGGGGAAATCTGTAGCATTAAAATGGTTAAATGAGCTTTTTACAGAAGGGGTGAAAACTGGTAGAACAAGTTGAAGCCAACTGGCTGGGCTTGGTTTTGGGGGCTTGTTGTTATTGTTGTTTGTTTTTTATTTCCTGTGAATCCCACCCCCTCAGGTGGGAGAGCCAGGAGGAGGGACCTCCCAGGGATGCTGAATGCCCCCTTCATTCCCAGGTTTGTCTCCTGCTGGGCGTGACTCGGACTGCCAGGAGGGCGAGGAGGGCATGTCAGAGGTCACTGGGCCCTCTGAAGAGAAAGTGCCCCTTTCCCAGGTGTGGCCTGTTTACAGCAGAGCTCTCGGCTGCCGTAAACTCATCCATTCTGGGGAAGCAGGAGGACTCTTGCCCAAGGCACCAGGCAGGGCAGTCCCTGCTCTGAGGCTGGGGCCTGGCTGCCTGGTGCAGGCCCTGCTCTCCAGCCTCAGGCCGCTCCTGGGCCTTGCACACAGCTCACTTAGCCCAGGAAGTCCTGAGCAGAGCGGTGTGTGAAGATGGCGTCCAGGCGCTGGGGTCATGAAACGGGACCTTGGAATCTGGTGCCGATCCTTTTTCCTCTCCTTTTCTTTTTTAGGACCTTCAGGGTCACAGAGCTCAGCAGCTGGGAAGCACCCAGTGACTTCAGGCAGATCATTCATTTCACAGTTGAAGCTCCAGCCTGGGGGGGTGGCGACTTGCTCAAGGTGAACACGGCCTCCCAACAGCTGGAACTCAGACCCTGCTGGTCCCATGCTCCACCCCTGGCCCAGGCTGCTCCCTCCCTGCATGACAACAGCACTGGTCACAGAGCACTGGTCACAGCTGAGCACTGGGCTCCGGGCCAGGAACTGCAGCGAATCCTTACAACCAACCTTCCTAGGAAATCAGTGATGTTCCCATTTTACAGATAAGGAAACTGACTTGAAAAAACAACCCAAGTCATGAAGTTCAGGGTCACAGCTAGCAAAAAGCAGAGCCAGGCTTCAAACCTAGTATCTCAAAGCCTGGGTTCAGGATCCTTGACACTGCTGAAGGCTTGGTTCGTCTTTAATGAAGGGCCCTAACCTTCAACACCCCTAGAGCACCTCACAAGGTCTGCAGAGGGGAAGAGTGTGAGACAAAAGGCTTCCACACTTTTTTTTTTGGTCACTTTAGTCCAAGAGCAGCCAAATGAATTCCTGTGACCCTAGACTGGGCCGTCGGACAATTCAAAGGCCACTAGTCATTTTGAAATGGGGTCAACAACCAAAGTCATGGGCTGGAGGGTGAAATCCTCGCCCCCTGCTTATCATGAGCTTTCTTCTTGGAGATTTCTTCAGGGCCCGTCAGTGGCAGGGCTGGGGGTGACTGCCACGACAGGGGGACAGACCACTGTGCTTGTTGTGAAAGGGGCTGCCAAGGAGTGAATCAGGTTTCCAGGGAACCTGGGCACAGAGCAGTGTCAGGCTCCCAGCCTCCAAGGCAGGGAACACAGTGACTAACCGTCATCTGCTCTGGGCCGGGTGCCCTGTGTGGCAGAAGCCAAGGGAGATGGAAGACAAGGACTTACTGTTTCACTGGGGTGGCGAGATATGCCCACCTCTAAGGATGAAAACAATAACCAACATTTATCAGATCTTATCATGCACCAGAACAGTGTTCAATGTCTGGCACATATTACCTCACTTGCAAAAACCTTAAGAGGTAGGAGTTATGCCTACTTTACAGATGAAGATTGGGCTCAGAGAGGTCAAAGCACATGCCTGACGACACACAGCAGCAAGTGGTACATCCAGAACTCAAACTCAAGTAGGCTGGCTCCAGCATCCAAGCTCTTAATTGTGCTCTATGACTGACGTGTGAGGGCTGAGGCAGGTGGTCCCCAGAGATTTCTGTATTCCCTGGAGGGTAAGATTAGGGAACTCTTGCAGACTCCTCCAATACAAGAGATTCTGTGAAATTTGTTAACAAATACAACATTGCAGAAGTCCGCTGCTATGTAAAGGAGGGAATTTTCCAAGTAGAGGGACTTCATGAAGGTTCCCCACTGGGCTTCCCTGTGGGTGTGGAGACGATTCCTCTCTCTCCTCCCAGCCTGTGGAGCAGAGGCTTGGCCTAAGCGAGACCTCAAGACCTCGGGTGGTCGCGGAGTGACTGCCCACAGAGGCAACAGAGGCAACGGGTCAGCATTCAAGCCCAACCACTGGAGCTCACATCCCAGCATGTGGACACTCTGGGAACCACCTGTCAAGTTCTGCGGCCTGTTTCCACACCTATCAAACAGACATGGGCGATTGTAAGGACTGAGGGGACAGGAAAGGTCAAGTACATAGACCCTGGCATGAATGTGTCATGGGGCGGATGTGAGGCGTCCCCCAAAGGCTCAGGTGTAGACAGTGCAAAGGGTTCAGAGCAGAAATGATTTAGCTGAACCGAATCAGTGGATTCACCCCCTGATATGGAATAACCGGGTGGTAACTGAAGTGGAGGGGAGTGGCTGGAGGAGGTGGGATTCAGGTCGTGGCTTTGGGGCGCATATTCCTGTCTGATGAGTGGAGTCTCCATCTCCTGATCACCATGTGAGCTGCTTCCCTCTGCCACACTCTTCTGCCCCGATGTTCTTTCTCGCCTTGATTATGAGGATTGAGACCTCTGAGACCATAAGCCTCCAAATAAGCTTTTCCTCCTCTACAGCTGTTTGGGATGGGTCCTTTAGTCACAGCAGGGAAGAAAGCTAACTAAAACAAAATGGCAGTAAGTATAATAATTTGGGGTGGTGCTGGGGATGGAACCCAGGGCCTCACACATGCTAAGCATGCCCTCTACCCCCAAGCCACAGCCCAGTTCCTAGTCTTTTTTTTTTTTTTTTTTTTTTGGTGGTATTAGATTGAACCCGGGGCTGCTTTGCCACTGAGCTATATCCCCAGGTCTTTTTTAAAATTTTGAGACGGGGTCTCATTAAGTCGCCCAAGCTGGCCTGGCACTTGCAATCCTCCAGCCTCAGCCTCCTGCGTGTGTGCCCCCATGACCAGCTCCAGTTTTTAATGATTAAATACATGTCCCATTTTCACTGAAGGCGATACTGAATACAGGCAGCTGGACCTTGACGCGAGGGAGATCCCAGAGCACTGGGGAAAGGACGCTGTGGTGACTGAGCTGAATGACGCCCAGCCTGAGCAGGAAGGGGAGCTGCACACACGAGAGCCTGGGCGGTGTGGCAGCCCTCCAGGGCCAGGACAAAGGAGCGCAGTGGCAGACATGGACGGTGACTTGGCGTGGTCACCTTCCTGAGGACCAAAGGTCACAGTTTCTAAATCCTCTCCTTCCTCGTCCTCTCTGCCAGGCCATCTGGTCCCAAATAAAGGACCCTAAAATTTTGCTGGCAGCCCAGCCAGGGTTCAGAAAATCCCTCACCCAAGTGTTCAGGGCCAAGACTGAGCA